GTGTGTGAGTGTGTTTTTGTGTATGTGACCTCACCCCAAGGCTGTATGCGCCACTGTATGCCCCAGGAATGCCACAACTCCCACTAGCGGCCCCAAACGTTTTCTCTATCTGCCCTCAGATCAGCCTGTGTCTGCCGTGTGTGTATTAGGGCATTAACGAAGGTTTTACTCTGAGCCAGAGTTGCATTTAAATGCTGTGTTTCAGTAAATTAACTTCTGTAAAGACAGAAAGTGTTTTCAAGACCAGCCAAAATCTGCATTAAGAATTCATTGAAAACATCGTGCCTCATGTTTAATGGAGCTGCAGGGACAACTGTGTCAGGATGTTTTCTATTTAAATATTAACACTCTGAACTCAAAGCAGTTTCCAGGTGTTTTTGTTTTGCTCCTCACAATGTTTTCCTCACTGTAGGCTCATTTTTCACTGCAATGTAAAGTCTTGCACCTCTATGGAAACAGCACAACCATAGCTGATGGTAGGGAGAACTCAAAAGTGTATTTTGTGCAGTATAACACAGTTAGAATGCCATAAATCTTTAAAAATTAAAAAGCAAAAGTTGATTTTGTCATTAATTTTCTTATTTATTACACAAAAAAATGAAAGCGATCAGCATATACAACATTTTTCCAAGTGCCACAACTACATACTACAGATATTTGCTCCTCCACACAAACAAATTATGTTTAAATGTATATACCATAGACATTTTACCACTTGCATTTTCAAATTGTTTCCATAGTTGCCCTCTGTCTGCTTGGTATTTCAGCCCAATTCAGCAGAAAAGATCCTGAATTTTTGTCGCATGACTGTTGATTAGTCGCTAACAGTTTTCGCGGTTACACCAAGGAGCACCGAATTTTTAGTTTTTTACAGAATCTAGTCAGAGCAATAGGTTTTATTTTTAGTGAATTATGACATGAGACACGTAGAATGAAGTGATTCTGATGAAATATTATGATTTCAGGGTTCGATTTGGTTTAGTTCCCCGACGGAATGCCAAGTCACAGATGGGATCACTGGAAATTTGAAATCCTGACAAAGTCTCTGTTTTTACAGCTTCTGGCTCTAATAATTGGTGTTATTTCAGTGATTTTTTTTTTTTTAAATCACATGTTTTAGATTTCAGAGGGTTGATACAGCTTTACCACATGAATCACTATGTTCAGTCTTATGTACTGCAACGTTAATCTTGTCATATGTCCATATCATTTAGTGAAGAGATATGTGTCCATCTCGCCCTCCTGCTTCCACTATCAGTACCTCCCTAAGGCAGTTTTACTTTCCGCTATTGTTCCTCTCATCCTCTCTCATCCTTCTCTTTGTGTCCCAGCTCTGGTTCGCCTTTGTGAACGGGTTCTCTGGCCAGATCCTTTTTGAGCGCTGGTGTATAGGCCTCTACAACGTGGTGAGTATCCGTCCTCGGTCACTCTTTTAGATTTCTCCACTCGCTCCCTCAGTCTCGCCCCCACTCCCACTTTCCCTTATATTTATTGACGGCTCTCGCTCTATCTCTTAATCACCTGCTTTGTCTTCTTATCACTGCTCTTTCTTGCATGCCAGAGATGTTTGCATGTGTGCGCGTATGAGAGCGTATGTGTTCTGACTGCAGACGTCTGACTGCAGATGCCTTCAGGCTCCCCCTTTGTTTTTTTTAAACATCATCTTTTCATAGTTAACACTGATTGTCCAGCTACTTGAAGTGCATGTGTGCGTCCACGCTGCCTCTGTCGTCCTGTGATTTAATGACTATGTATATCTTCTCTGTGCTGCAGATATTTACTGCACTGCCTCCGTTCACTCTGGGGATTTTCGACCGGCCGTGCAGCCAGCAGAACATGCTCCGCTTCCCACAGCTGTACCGAATAACCCAGAACGCTGAGGGCTTCAACACCAAGGTACGCTCACAAATCTGAAATCAAAGCGAAATCTGTCTTTCTTTNTGTCTTTAAGATAACACGATTAAAACCCGGCTGGTTTTTAGGGTTCAGGGGGTTAAATAAAAACACTGTGGTTGACCCACTATGTTGATAGTAAAATAAAGTATTTGTATCCCTTTGTCTATTATGACAGAAACGTCTCCTCATGTGCTAATTACTGTGGAGCCGTGTCTTTTCTGTGTCTGTCTCTCACATTGACACATTCTGTCACTTTCACTGTTTGCAGTGTTTATCTCATTGCCCCGGGGCATCTTGCACAACTTATCTTTATCAGCGAGCCTCAACTGTCTCTTCTCTCAGTCACACTCTTGATATACACTGTGTTCCACTTCTGTCTTTAGTATTCTCTTCTTTTTTTTTCTCCAAGTAAAAAAACATTTCTGTCTTGTGTCTACTTTTTTGTGTTGCTAGTTCTCCTACCTAGAGAAGCTCCTGTTGGTCCACGGAGCATGGAGCTACAACCGGGTCACGAAGTGCATCCTCTACTGTTTCTATAAGAATGTGGTCCTCTACATAATAGAGGTAAGAGCT